GGGGGGTAGGCACAGGTACTAACTAGCACAGAAAACTAGGTAAGAGAAGTTTGTTCAAGAAAACTTCTAGAAGCCAAAGTGTCTTTGGGTGGCAATGTGGAGGAGGAGCTGAACTGAGGGCCCTGTTTTCTAATGAGGGGCAGAGCCTGGAGTGGAGCTCCAGCCTGGCAGGAGTCACACAAATTCATCATGCTCAAGCATCATGTCTGGCCCTGTGGTTAGCTTTTGACTGACTTGTCAGGTCAACAGGGTGGGGTGCCATAGAAAAGGAGCCTGGACTACCTGAGTTTCGAAAAGAAAGCAGCCCAGAATGTTCACAAAAGACCCTGAAGGCAGTTGTTTCAATGCTTTATTGACATTTGGAAACAAACCCATCAAACTGGAGGTGATGACATCCCAGAAGCCCAAGAGGGGGTTTGCATTTTGTTCCTTGTACTTAAAAAAATTTTTTTATTAAATGCATCTTAGCAAAAGTGATTAAAAAAGAAAGGGTCAAAGGCCCAGATGTCAGTGAGCAAGAGGAAGGAGGTGACTCAGGGAAGAACAGGCCCCTACACCACAGTCTTCCCAGGACAGCCCAGGAGCTTCTACTGCCCCTTCAGACACAAGCTGTAGCAAACCAAACCCTCCTTCCTGGCCACAAGGTCACCTGCAATTGCCCTCCCTCACATTTCTTACAGTCCCCACTCCCCAGCTCTGTGCCAAGCTTTAACAGTGTCATTCTTCTCTGTAGCCTTCAAGGGGAAGCTAAAAGGGGCATTAAGGAAGACAAAAAAACAAACAAACAAACAAAAAAAACAACAAAAGTGACCTAAGCAGATGATGTGAGCTTCCTGAGGTATGGGCCACCATACAGTCCAGTCTGCTCATCGTTTATATAGTGTGGGAGACAACCCTGTGCTTACTTCTCAGTGTCCACTTAGCATCTGCACATTTGGCTTGATAATTTATTCAATTCATAAAAACTGTGTGGCCTGGGAACTCCTGCTACCCTTCAGCCTAGCCCAGCCCAACCAAAGAAGAGGTTCCTCTCGCCTCAGAACTGATACTGGGGGAGGATCTGCCTTGGCCACCGGGTCCAGTCTTGAGGGATGGAGTCAACATCCAGGCCATGTTTAGGACTGAGGAGGCCTGTGAGGAGAAACCCCAGGAATGCTTGAACCTACCATCCAAGCCTCTTCTATTATGGAGGGGGAAGGGGAAAGTTATTTTTCTTAAAAAAATTTTTTTCATATAAAAATAGATCCATTTGCAAAACAATTTCTTAGCCAGGAGGCTCCACCTCCCATTTCCTTGGAGACAAAGGGTGAGGTGTTAGGATGGTCACACTACAGCCCACACTCCAAATGAGATGCATCAAATCTCTGGGGAAGGCATGAGGAGGGGCTCAATGGCCAAGGGGCTGGTACAGAGGGTCCAGCGAGGCAAGGGCACAAAGCCTGGCAGTGGGCAGGCCCCACACTGTCACTACGCCCTAGGTACCTGCCTCCAGCTCAGGCCTGGGCCACAGTGGAACAAATAAGAGTGGTCAAGACCCTTTGCCTGGGAGACCTTTCCCAGGAAGGTAGGGAAAGGGTGGGATTTGCTTCCTGATTCCACAGAAGCAGCTCCCGATGCCACAGCACTAATAATAAATAACAACAGCCAGGAGGAAGAAGAGCAGAGGTGACAGCAGTGTAAGGAAGGATCTAGCCCAAAGGTTCACAAGTCCCATGCTATTCTCAGGGCCAGAGAAACCACAAAAGAAAAGCACAAATTCATCAAGATTGACCTAGGGGAAGGCCCACTAGAAAATGGGCTGACAAAGCAGGCTGGGTCTTGTCTGAGACCAGGCCCCCTGGGTAACAGAGAGGAGACAGGGTTAAGGCAGCAAACATGGACCCTGCTTTGGTAATACAACAGCCAGGGCTGGCTGGGCTAGGCTCAAGCCACCCCCATACTGTTCTTTCCTTTTGGCCTCCAGGCAGCTGAAGCTGGATATGATGTTTAGAGAGCAGCAGGCCAGACAGAAAGACAGGGTCAGGTGATGGAGTGGCCACTGCAGAGGGACAGCCCCTTGACCCCTTAGGCACATGCCACAGGTGGGACAGTCTGGGCTCCATTTAGGAGCTGCCATGGCCAAGGATCCCAGCTTAGCTTGCCCGGCCAACCAGCTCCTTGGCTTCTTCAAGGATTGTGGGTACTCCTTCACTTTTCTTGGACACTTTAGCAGGACCAGCAGCCATGGCATCATCCTTGGTCAGCTCTGAAGCTAGCAGAGATGTGACTGCACACCCGGCCTTCCTGTTGACTACAAGAGAAGACATGAGAACCTGAACACAGAAGACCTAATTTCTCATCTCTTTCAAACTCTGTAGCAGATGTTCAGTCAGAAGCCATGCAATTATGCCTTGTCTGATTGAGAGGTCTTATTTATTTATTTATTTATTTTTATTATTATTATTTTTTTAAATGTTAAGGAAACTTTTGTGGTTTTATTGTATCATAAGGCATATTCGTGTATTGCCTGCACATAGGTAAGTGTATCTATATCGTGCAATGTCTGCGGAGGACAGAGAGGCTGTTGGATCCCCTGGAACTGGAGTTACAGACAGTTGTTAGCTGCTATGCGGGTGCTGGGATTCGAAGCTGGGTCTTCTGCAAGAACAACCAGTGTTCTTAACTTCTGAGCCATTTCTCCAGCTCAAGAGGTCTTTACTTTAAAGGAAGGAAGGATAGAAATCCATCATGTGCAACATACCTTTGGGTAGCAAATATGAAGGTTTGAATACAGCTAACATATTTTGGGGGTTTAAGGGGATGGAGAGATGGCTTAGTGGTTAAGAGTGCTTACTGTTCTTACAGAGGACTAAGGTTCAGTTCCCAGCACCCACGTGGTAATTCATAGTCACCTGTCATAATCAAAGGACCTGACACCCTCTTCTGAGAGCACCAAGCATGTATATGGTGTGCATACACAGGTGCAAGCAAAACACTAATACACATAAAATAAAAATAATTCCTTTAGGGAGCTAGAGAAATGGATTAGCAGTTAAGAGCACTAGCTGCTGCAGAGAACCAGGTTCTCTTCCCAGCACCATATGGTAGCTAAGAGCCATCCATAACTCCAGTTCCAGGGGATTCAATAGCCACTTCTGATCTCCACAAGCACTGCACAACACGTGTACACTTACATACATGAAGGCAACACACTCATACACATAAAATAAAAATAATAAAATACTAAAATAAATAAATCCTTTTTTTAAAAAACTGGGTTTAAGTGTTGGCTATGTGACACATCAAGAGGAAGTACTCAAAGCCCATTTTCTCATTTAGGTTTGTAGGAATTAACTAGGTTTAAGCTTAGTACATATTATTTTTGTTTTCCAGGCACTCCACAGAATGTTTGTAGGCCACAATACATGGCTGCCTCAAGAGAGCTAGTCCTAGCAAAAGGCAGCCTTCAGTAAGCTTGTGAGGGGACTCTTGCAAAGAGGAACCCAGACACTAACTGGCATCACATTCATACCACATCCCCACGTTGTTCTCCAACAACCAGTGTGCACATACCCGGCTCTTTCTCACCTCTTTAAGGACTCTACAAGAGATGTATGCATGCATGTGTGCATGTACATACTGAGGGGAGAAGTGATACAAGGTATGCCAAAGAAGGCAGAAATGGGGTCAAGGTTGACCAAGAGGGGAACCCTATAAAGACATCTCAACCCCCAAGATTTTTTTGTTCATTGATGAATCCAGACTTCTGACCCCAGAATCTTTACCAGGAAGGCAGCTCCTTGGGACCATACCAACTTCATGATGCTCACTTTGTCCCATGCCCTATATAACAGCATAGAGAGACTGCATGTGCACAGTGTAAATAAAAGCCAGACATAAAGCAGTGCCTAAGCCTTAAAGAAGCAGGAAGGGATGAAAAGCCTAGTGCTTCCAAATGAAGACTCCGGGCTAGCTGGGGGTCAAGAGCAGGGAGTTAAGAGAGTCCATAGGAGCAGTGAACAAGGTGTCTGCTTTGGACCAAAAAAAAAAGCTTTAGGTAGGTGAAAGCCAAGTAGGGTAAGAGTCCAAGTCTTTGCCAGGGCAGTCAGTCTTGCAGCCATGACTCAAAGCCACTGTTTTCACACATGCAGAAGTTGCCCGCAGGTCAAGGAGGGAACATACAATATGCCCACAGGTTACCAACTTAGAAGTTTCCTCCTCCTCCTCCTCCACCTCCTCCTCCCAAGGGCACAAGGGGTTGTCTACCAAGAGGGGAAAGAACAGTGAGAACTGTGGCCGACAGCGTCTGGGTATATCTAGGTACAGACCACAGATGCGTGACCCATACCCTCAGTGCTTCACCAAGCCACTTGCTGGATTGTGAACACGCACTTTTCTAGGACCCCACTTCTCATGTCCAGAAAGATAGTTCGGTATCTCTTTACTGCTCCTCTGAGTTCAGTCTCCAGTAGTCAAAAATTACTTCAAGTATTTATGTGTACATGTACATATGTCTGATTCTAATGAATGAGTTGAAATAACACCTACTTCTAGACTCTGGGATAAAGAACACTGGTCTTTGGGAACATCTGTCCTGGGGCAACACAGAAGTTACTAAGTGTGGGGCAGCAAGCCTTAAGCTGCTCCTTTCTGCCTTCTTTTTCTAAGATTTCCTGTTGTATCTAATCTGGCAGTGTTTCAGGATTTTGCTATATTCATGAAGCTGCTGATGTATTACTTATTTCTTAAGAACCAAGGAAATATGGTAGATGGAAGAAAAAAATTTCTCTTTTAAGCCTTGAAAGTAGGTTTGCTATGGGTGGACATGATGTGGTTCAAGGTTAAAGATGGGAAAACTCTTATTCCAAATGACAAAAGATCAACAGAACCCAAGCATCCCAGCTTCCAACCTATCTCCATGGTCACCATGATGTTGAGCGATCTGAACAATCAGGAAAAATTTACTTCCTCCCTTTTTAAGACTATTGAGTACTTATAATGGCCACAGAACCAGGTCAGTGCTCTGACTACTTGGGATCTGGGAGGATTAATAACTGTAGAGGAATGGTCCCTATAGACTGAGAAGGGATGGAGAACAGTTCTGAAAAATTATTCAAAGCTCTCTGAAGCCAGAATCCTTGAAGTCAGAGGTAGATAAGAGAAAAACACCAGTAAAATCTGCCAATTAACACTTAGAACACAGCTGAATTAGACAGGAAAAGGTTAATGGTGTAGAGGTGGACAACTTTTCTAAGACACAAACTACAAACAACTACTAAAGAGGAAGTGCTCTTGTTAATAGGCTTCCTCAGGGGAAGAGGAAACTAGGGCAGATGGGGCAATCATTGTCATCCTAAATAACTCATTATTGTCTAAAACTATCCTAATTATACCTCCTGCCCTATTTTTATAAAACTGGGGAGAATAAGCAGTGATATAGAATACTTTTATAAACTTTTTCTAGAGAGGGGGGTCATTCGCTTCCATAGTACAATATTACCATGTCCAGAATTTTCCTCACAAGACTATATAAAAAAGTACTTCTGACTCGTACAGAGGGGTCACTGTCATTTCCAAACCAATAACACAGACTTAGTGGAAAGAGCACTGGACTTAAGATTCACTAAAGTAGGCTACAGTTCTAGTTTTACCATTAGACTTGGACAAAACCTTATCCTGTCTAATTCCTCCTACCTAGGAGCAGGACAGATACCAATCGTCGTTAGTCTTCTCAAGGCGCTAACCCACAGACCTATACTGGGATTAAATGGAGCTTTATAGGGAAGCCAGGAAATAGTAAAAGGAAGGTATGACAGAGAGATAGATTTCTTTCTTGACTTGCAGCTTAGTGAGCAAGTAACCTGTGTACAATTCAGGCATGGAGATAAAGTTGAGTCATTAAACCCACAAGCTGACTCAATCACTGCCTGAAATAGTAGCTGTAATACAATCACATGGATTCTTCTATTTGACACTCCAGCCATTGTTCTCCCACACCCTGTAGACCACAGCAGTTTACAAGCTTTCAATGAACCAGCTCTGATAGGAACTCTCTTCTTCCAACTCCTCAGTGACCCTCTGTGTATCGGTCACTCCCTCATGTCTCCAGAGACCTGAAGATTTTAACATTCCTGGAGACTCTAGGGGAAAAGCTAATATCTTTTAGAGACAGCTAATATCTAAAGAGACAGCTGCCTCTTTGGGAATGGGAAAGACTGTAAAGCAAACTCACCTGACACTGCTTCTGGTTCTTTGGCTTGTGAGGACCAGTCAGAGGTAGCCACATAAAGGGTAGAAGAGCTGAGTGGAGGGAGTTTGTGACCTCTGAAACTTTGAGAATGGATCCTTCTAAACTCCTGCTTAATTCTTTGAAGAGAAGGTCCTCTTAATCCTACTGTCATGGTGGTATGGCAGTAATAGTGCCAGAAAGACCTTAAAGACCATTCTAGTACAACTCAGAAGGAAAATTAGTCTCAAAAACACTGAGTGACTCCACTAAGGAAACAAGACAGCACTAGAGCTAGATTTGAGTTTTGATCTTTTGACCCCACCCTAGTCCTTGGCCTGTTGCTTGATGCCTAGCTTTCTGTTTATATTTGGTGTAAGGCTACATCACTTTAAATTATGTGAAAGTACCTAAATCTAAAAAGCTAGTCAGAGTAACTAAAAATGGTTCCATTGAAAGATTCTCTCAGATAGGTTTGGTGAGCTTAGTAAACCCAGAGCTCAGAAAGATAAGGTTACAAGCTAGAGCCAGTTTAAAACTACATAATTCTTGGGGGCTGGAGAGATGGCTCAACAATTAAGGGCACCAATTGCTCTTGCAGGGGACCCAGGTTGGCTCCCAGCACCCACATCACGTGGCTCACAACCAACTAACTGCCTGTAATTCCAGTTCCAGGGGATCCTACACTCTCTGGCCTCTGGGGGCTCCTGTATGCACATGGTATATGTAAAAACTCACACAAGTACACATAGTACACATAAAAAAAATTTTTTTTAAAACTATGTAATTCTTATCTTCAACTTCTTTTAACTTCAGTATTTCCTAGTGTCCTAAGTCTCTTATTCCCTTTTGCAGTGGGAGAAAGTCCTTTGACTAATTCAGATTCTGTACTTAAAGTGTAGTTCTGACAAAATGCTTGCTTTCTGCGCCACCAAGTCCTGGTTTCCCACTAAGAATGCAGTGGAGAATGGGGCCTCTCCAGCAAAGGGAAGTCACTGATGTCTGGCTGCTTGTGTACAGGAAACATCTGGGACTCTGCTACAATTCCTCAGGAAAAGGCTAAAAAGGGAATTCCCCAGCGAAGTCTGATGTAGGCTGGGCTTAGTTAAGAGGGTCATGGAAGATGGCAAGTGAGATGCATGGTACTTTTGTTGGGCTTAAAGTAGGTGGGTAGGAAACAATACTGCAAGGATCTCTAAAAACTGAATACCAAAGCAGTACTACTGCTTATCTGTAAGACTGAATGCTCTAGTCCAGAGTTCTAAGCCCTCTGTACTCATGCCTCCCCTCCAGAGACCTTGTACTCAGAAAATGCCATAAAATGGATGAGTTGTGACCAGAGACTCTTCTGTTTAAGAAAGGATTTAAAGTCATACTTCCAGGCAATCTTGGAAGAGAATTTCCCTCTGGGTAGTCAGAGTATAGGTAGAAATAAGCAGGTAGCCATTACAGATGGAAATCATAGCAAACTATTTGGGCCAAGGAACTGAGTTTATATGGGCTACTATGATCCATACTCTTCCCCATACACTCCTTCCAGAGTGTAACAGACATTGTAGGTCCTAGATACATCATTGTATTAGAAGTTCTACACTAGCCAAAAGCCAGCAATCCTCTTTACAATCATCTTCAAATAAAGCGAGTATACCAGTTAGCAAGTAGGGAAGAGCTTTAACTCACAATGATATTTTTGCTGTAATTCTCACCCTTTGATGGAAAGAAGCCATCACTTCTATGTTCCCAAAGAGCCCTCACTAGACAGGATAGCACAAGTCATCATGACATAATGGGAAGCTTTGGCCTCAACTTCTCTTGAACTAGTCTTTTGGTCACTGCATGCTTTCCTCCAAGGAAACAAACACACTAATCCTTACCTATACTAATATATGGGTAATTTGTGCTCGTTTGTCCACAATTCTTTTTAAAGGCTCTGGCTCAGTAATCCACTTAAATTTTCTATGTGTTCAAAGAGAGGTTCTAAGGAGCTGGAAAGCAAGGACAGTGGAAGGTAACTGTACCCAAAGAAAAAGGCAGCTCTATGTATGGCTCAGTTCAGCCCAATCCTTCAGTTGTGTGGTCCCTCTGTATTCATCTAAGGATGATACTCCCCTTCTTCAGAATTTGACTTGCTCTTGTGCTCTTATTCTTTCTCTGTATGTCTTCTGCTAGTAAAGTTGAATAAGGACTTTGACTTATATTTCTTTTGTATTTACATATGTACATATATGCATATATAAAATACAGTTTTCTATTTAGGTCATTTATTTTTCATACAAATGCACAAATGTCCATTCAGGTACCCATGTCCTATATCAAATTTATGCTTTGGGAATAAAGAAATGCAAGAATAGTCAAAGAGAATTGATTTGTTGTTAGAAAACTGGAGCTTGAGGAACTAAGTCAGGATTTCTAATGTGAGAAGAAGATAATCCTCTCGCAGTACAGGGATATGGGATATTTCTAATCCCCAGAGTATCATTCTCTACTCTTCAGCCCTCTACTGGCAGAAAAAGGAGCAGAGACCCCCTCACTCCCATCAACTGCCAGCTGGGCTCCATTTGTTTACTTACCCTGACGGGGTCCTCTCTTCCTTCGGAATGCTGCCCCTGATTGCAGAGCTTCTAGAAGACTATCCATCACACCTGTCTCATCACCCTCTATCAAGAACAAAGACAGGGATGTTATGCTCTTCAGACAGAGCAGTAGGGCAAATGTCAAGCTTCACATGAAATGCATAGATGTGGTTGGCTCTCCCTCCCCAACACTGACCAACAGTTCAAAAGAGACAAGAAAGGCTCAACCTCAAGTCTCACAGACTCATGTCTAACTTGTGTTTTTAAAATGGCCAGAAAGATTCACTGTCTATTAGTGAAACCCTACCTATTAGTGAAACCCCGAGATGCTTTATTATAATGCCTTCCTAGTCAGAACTAATCAGAGCTAACACACAGAATCCTAGAACTGTCTAACTCCAAGACCTGGGTAAGTACACAGACCACAATTGTAAATTTTTTTTTGGTCTTTCTGAGACAAGGTCTCCCTGTAGCCCCAGCTGGCATGGAACTTTCTATGTAGACCAAGCTGGCCTTGAACACACAGAGATTGGCCTGCCTCTGCCTCCCAAGTGCTGGGATTAAAGATGTGTGCCCCCATGCCTGGCCACAATTTTGAATTAATGGGCAACTGTGTCAGATAAGGTGATTCATAGCACTTGGGAGGTGGAAGCAGAAAGATCTGGAATTTGAGGTCAGTCTGGCCTACATAGAAAGAATTTGTTTTAAAAAAGAAAATAAAAAGCAGTAAAGAAACTATTATCACTACTATCACTCCTTCTTCTATCAGTGTTTCACTCCTAGCTGAGGTTTCAGAGAAAGGTTAAGGGAAGAGAAACTACTGGTCAAGACTACATTTCACTTAAGTACCGCATGAAAAGTAGCTGCATCTTCCTGAAGACAGTTTTCTATCTAAGAGCTTAGAGCTGCCTGGCTGGAATACAAAGAGTTAATGCAGAATCCTAGTTCTAGCCAGGCTCGGTTTCCAGGGCAACAGCTCAGGCTCCTGAAATCTGAAAGAGTGAAATCCCAAGGAGCCAGTAGGAAGCCAGCTCTAAGGCTGGGGTTAGTTGCTCCCACCGCCACCTGCTGTCTGAATATTAACAGTGCAGTTGACCTACATTCCAACTTCATTTGCTTGACCCGGGGCAGAGAGTAGGGCAAGGTCCACTACGCCATCTGCTGACTGTATATAATGCTCCTCCCAAATGCCAATTGGACTCCACCTTCCCCCATTACATCCTATGCAATTCAAAGGGGGTAAAAACCTTAGAAGCCCTGAGAGAAAAGGAAGGAAAATGAAGGATACTTGGTATGACCTTTAATAGCATTACTGGAACAGAGCTGATGGCTTTTACACAACTGAGGTAAAGGCAAGGGAACTACTTTAAAGGTCTTTGGAAATAAGACATGTTAGAGTAGTCCTTATGTTTGTGCTCAGCAAAATTTTACCAGAGGCATTGAGAACCCATCATTTGCAGAAAGCTTATGATCCTTAAGGATCAGCTCAGTGCCATGAGCAACACATGCTGTATTTCCGATGCCCATGGGGGAAGGGGGCAGGGAATCCCAGCAGGAAAACAGCAGAGACAGGAAACAGAGGGCCAGTAATTGAGACCATGTGCTGGAACAAAGACATGTTTCTGGTAGTGTCAGAGTTTCTGTTGACAAAAGAAGAGGGTGGCCAGCTTTCCACCCCCTTCTAGAAGTTCAATCTATTTATGATCTCAGAGATCTGTACCACATGCCGAGGTTCTAGGAATACAGTATTGGTGAAATAAATAGAAAGGGAGGGCAAGTCACTACTACAAGACAGGAAGAGCCAGGGAAACGTTTTAGGAATCCAGAAGTTTTAGTATAGGGAATAACAAGCCAGAGGGCACTTGGCCAGACAGAGGGAAAGAGTAGGTGTCACAGCAATCCCCAGATCACACAGGAAATGAAACATAATGCAAGATACAGCAAAGTGAGAAAAAGGAAAACTGCAATATGCATGAAGCTAAACTGGGGTTAAAACCCAACATCGGGAGCTCAGAGATGGAAGGTTGCCAAAATACATTTGCCAGGGCTAACCTCAGACCTGAGCTATTCTCTGTGGCTTCTAGATTCTAGATAGAGAAGCCTTCCAAATGTTCCTTTCTCAACCCATCACCCTGCCCCACTTCCTACCTGCATTCATGTCTATGAGTTGCTCTCTCTTCTGCTGTTTCTCCAGCCGCTCTTTTTCTGCCTTCTCCTTGGCTAGTTTTGCTCGCCGCATCTTTTCTTCTGTTTCCCGGCGTTTCTGGTTCTCCTTGACTGCTTGCTGAAGTGGGAGAGGGGAAGGGGAAATGTGGACATGTATATGCCACCACTAACCAATATGAGCCCCATAAGAAGTCAGTAGGTTGCCCTTACTTACTCACCAAGAACATATTCCTAAAGTTGTGCAGATCCATAAAGAATTCTTCCACAGACAACTTCTTGGGGTCAAAGACGAAGTAGTCACCTAGCTCCTTATACAGAGTCTCCATGTTAGAGTGCATCATTCGCAGTTTGTTATATTGTTCCTGTGCATCCTTCATAAAGATGTGCAACCAGGAGTAAAGGACCAAGACCAACAAACAAACACAGTATGTACAGGATGTTCAATATGACATTACTCAGGACAGAAAACACAGAAGCAAGCTAAATATTCAAAAAGGGAAAGAGTGAACCATAAACCATGGTACACCTATAGAATAGGAGGTTGCAATTTTCTAAAAGGTTATTTGGCATAAACTACTATTGAAACAAGGCTGAGACATATTATGTGGGAAAAGCTACACAATGCAGTTTCTGTTTAAAATAAATAAATCAGGAAGTGGCAGTGGCTACCTGTGGCAGGGAGGGTGTGTGTCTAACAGCAGTGGGGCACAGAGTAAGGAAATCAAGGGAGACTTTTTTATCTGTAAAGTTTGCTTTTACTTGCGAAATGACACTTTTAAAAAACTATGTATTTAATGAAAAAACCTCAAAGAGAAAAACTGAGTACTACCATCATCTCTCCTTAGACCTCGGAGTGCTTCTTCCCCTTCCTATGGAGTCACTCTTTCAAAGCAAGGATATGGTCATTTTCTCCACAAACTTGTCCTTTTCATCAGTGGCAGCTGGGAAATTCTGAATATCACGTTCCACATCAGCAATCTGTTTCTTCATCTGATCTAAGTTCTTCTGCAAGTTTTCAGCAGAAACTATAGGAAACACAGAACAGATAGCAAGAGGTTATTAGCAATTCCAGCCTCAAGATCTCTCAGCTTCACCCTTTAATCCCAATATCTATCCTGGCAGTTACTTCCTTTTATTCTCTTTGTTCTTCTAGCTGTTTCATGCGCTGAAGCTATGATCTCTGCAGTAAAAGTATAATTCTTTGCTAACTGAATTTCCAACCCTCACATGGTATAGTACTAACAGAAGACAGTTTTTATTTAATTAGAAAGAAGCTATGGAATCCCCTGAGATATTGGTCTCATTTATTTCAGAGAACAGGGTTTGGGAAGGAGGAGACATATGTAGGAACACAGAAGCAGGGCAGACATCTGTCCTACTTCAACTGAATATTCCGCCTAGTTCCAGGATAGTAAGGCCTGATGCTTGTTAATCCAGCCTATGCTTTCTGAATGACAGAAGCTATGGACCTAGATTGAAAACACCTACCCTTCCAGTTATCTTTCTCTGTGTGTGTGTGTATGTGTGCGTGTGTGTGTGTGTGTGTGTGTGTGTGCGCACACGCGTGCGTGTGCGCGCGCGCTCTAGTACCATGGTGTGGTGGTCAGAGGACAACATGCTGGCATACATTCTCTCTTTCCACGATGTGGCTCTCAAGGATTAAACTCAGGTTATCTGTCTTGGTGGCAAGCGCCTCTACACACTGAGCCATTTTGCTGGCCCAGAATTACCTTCTAGCTTTGCCCTAAACTGCTTTACCTCGGCTGGCTTTCTCCACATGGGCAAGCTCATCAGGAAACTTGAGGACATCAGGATAGTCATTCTCACATAACTCAGCCAAGAAGTGCAACAATGTCATCTTCTGATCTGTAGACTTGGTGTCTCGAAGCTTGGGGCAAGAGGAGAAATCATTTGTCCTGACCTGCCCAAGATCACCTTAGGACAACACTGGGCTCAAGTAGCCTTCCCTCTGTCCTCCTGCTCTAACCCTATCATTTACCTTACAGAGGAAGCTGATATTGAAGCCAAAAGCACCAGCATTCCTGGAACCCGCATTCATATAGTTTCCAACAAGCAGCGTAATCTCCAGGAGGCTGGAGAAGCTCTCACTCTTGCGTAACTCCTCACATGCTGCTGTGACAGACACAATCTCTGGCTTGATATTCTCCACTTGCTCACCAAATTGTAGCTTGAAGAGGATAGCATTGAGGCGAGGCCGTAGGCGGGGCACTGTGCCCATCTAGTAAGGAAGACAAGTGGTTCCATTACAGCTAATGGAGACAGAGAAGTCAGAAAAAGATGAAGACTGAGCCTCCTCTGGGAGGATCAGAGTTCCAGAGCAGAGAGTGAGAAAGGGGTTCAAAAGTGGTAAGAGGCAAGGAGGAAATGTCTAGGCTGGCCTCCAGAAGGAAGAGCTAACTGCCACAGGCCTTACTCACCACCACGCCGAACTGTTCTGACTCAGCCAGATCATCATACTCATCCTTCAGTTCAGAAAGCATTTTTAACTGCTCTGGCTCTGGCATCTGTTTAATGAGGTTCTGGAAAAGAGAATAGATGCTTTGTTGTGTATGTGGTATGGGGATGAGCTGACAACCTGAGCCTAAATTACTGACTTTCTGGTAAGTACACACTCTGCCCAAAGACAACTATGAAGGAAAATGGGGGTGGGGGCAGCTAATAAGGTGGCAGAATCTTTGAAAAATAGGTTGAAATAACCTGACCTCCAGAGAAATAAGTCAACAATGAGGAGGAAAGTTCCTTCTCATCCAAACAGGGAGGAGGTGAGGCTGGTGTGAGGCTGTGCAGAAGAGCCAGCTCTGGCAGAACAGCCTTGCTCCTTACCTGGATCATAGACTCAGTCAAAACAGCCTCATTCACCTCCAGGATGACATTCTTAATCTCCTGGTAGGGCATGCGGAAGGAACCCAAAAAGATTGCTGCCAAAAAATGAGATATAAAGACAAGTTTTTCTCAGCTTCTTCCCCAGTCTAGCTCATCCTGCAAGCTTATACAGATAATCTTGTCAAGGGGATTCTTTCAAAGCCACTGTGCCATTACAGAGTAAAAACACAAGCCCATGAGTCCAGTGTTTGGGCTTCCACTGTCATTCATCCGTAAGTGCCAGCCACACCATGTCACACAGCAGTTACACTGTTTCATTCCCCACATTCCACAAACACCAGACTGTCTTTGTTCACAGGAAGTCTTTGCTGTTTTCTACATACCTCAAAAATACCCAGCCCTCCTCTAGTTTCCTACAACCACAAAGCTGCTATTGCCTTGACCTATTGATTCTTTTTTTAAAAAAAATTTTATTTATTATTTTTATTTTATGTGTATGAGTATACTACCTGCATGTATGTGAGTGCACCTGTGTCATGCAGTGCCACAGAGGTCAGAAGAGGGCTTCAGATTCCCCTGGAATTGGAGTTAAGGACGGTTCATAGCCACCATGTGGGTGCTGGGAATCGAACCCAGTTCCTCTGGAAGAGCAATCAGTGCTCTTAACCGCTGAGCCATCTCTCCAGCCCCTGACCTATTGATCCTTAAACTGCCAAGTTCCTTTTCCTAATAAACACATCCTGTCCTTTCATCCCTCTCACATTCTAGTCTCTTTTTTAAAAAATATTTATTATTTTTATTTTATGTGTATGAGTGTATTGCCTGCATGTATGTGAGTGTACCTGTGTCGTGCTCCTTCTAGACTCTTGACCATCTACCCTAGCTTCTCTATCTGGCTTGGACACCACCATCTCTCACTTGGCTGTTCTATTACCCATTAGCACTACTCTTGTCACAACAGCCATTCCCTTGCTCCCTGCTCCTGCCACACCTTGCTAACCCAGCTGTCTCACCTCCTCTGGATTTATACTTGGGCTGATGCAGATCAGTGGCAGACCAATGATAGCGAGGGCCTCAGGGCTGCCAAGCAATCTTTGTGGGTGCTCCTATTCCACTCCCTACCATCTTTTTGGCACCTCCTCCAAAATATACTGCCCCACCCCATTGTCTTAAGAAGACCTTAGTCTTTTTCATTAAGAAAAACTTAGGCCACTCAGAAAATTACCTGTCAGCTTTATCTTATACCGATTAAAAATTGAGCATCAACTAGAGCTGATTAGAAAATGGGTAAAGACTGTTTTGGAATCACCTAAAGAAAAAAGTTGTGCCAATGCTTCTGGAGGCTTATTAGCATGTACTCTTATATATTATACAAACACACACTGGCTCTGGTTCTCTCTCTCTCTCTCTCTCTCTCTCTCTCTCTCTCTCTCATATCCCACATAGGCTCTGGTTCTCTCTTTCTCCTTCTCTCTTTCTTTCTCCTCTCTCATATCCGTTCCTCAAAAGAGGCAGCCCTAACCTTCTCCTTTAGAATATGTATAGTCAAGTCTCTTCCATCTTAAAAACCACAACCAAGGGGCTGGGGAGATGGCGCAGAGGTTAAGAGCACTGACTGCTCTTGTAGAAGACCCAGGTTTGATTCCCAGCACCCACATGGCTGCTACAAACCATCCTTAACTCCAGTTCCAGGGGAATCTGAAACCCTCTTCTGACCTCCGCAGCATTGCACAACACAGGTACACTCACATACATGCAGGCAATACACTCATACACATAAAATAATAAAATATTTAAAATTTTAAGTTTTATTACACACACACACACGAACCTCTGAATAAATGTTCCCTTCTTTTATAAATACATGTTTTCTTTACTCCATGGCATTCTGAAAATACACTGTATTCTTTTTTATATAACTTTCATTCTGTCCCCAGAAAGCCAATAAAAATCAGCAGTCATATGAGTGTGTTCTGCACAAGATCCCACCTTGCCACCTCTTACCCATATCCACTAGCCACTACTCTCTTCCCAAAAAGAGGGACTTCTTTAGTAAAGTGGCCTAATTCAGGATATTGATAGCACCTTTCATAAAGTGATCTAGATACTCAAGAATCAACTCTTTAATTTCCTCAATCACTAAGCCCTAGTAGTTCTTCCTATCTGTGCCTTCCATTTCATTCTTATTACCTTAGTTTTCAGTCCTGATTATCTTTCACTAGTTTAAAGCATCAACACAGCTCATCTTTCTTCCTACTATTCTCGCACCCAGAAACTCAGCCTGAAAAAATCACTTACCAAAGCAGCCTTCCTAAGAATTGCGCAGGATTGTAACACTCATTTTCCTAATTTAAATCTCTTCAATCACTTCCATAGCTATAAGTATTTGCAGTTCCCAGACTACACAATGTCTCTCAAGCATACGGGCTCACCCCTTTCCTGAAATGAGACAATCCCTGTCCTTCACTTAATTCTTCCTAGAAATTCTTTCAGTAACTATAGGTTAAGCAGTAACTCCTTGAGAATGTGCTCTTAGATTTGCCTCTTCAACACTCTTGATCAAGAAGCCTCCTTCCTGGTACTGGTCTAAGCATTCTAGCATACCTCTATGGCAGTACTTACTACTTTCTGTCATTACTTACCTTTCTGCCCCACCAGACAAGAGGAGAGAGATTATCTGACTTAGATTGGGATCCTTAGAATAAAATGGGCATGTAAGACATTCTTGGGGTTGGAGAGATGGCTCAGTGGTTAAGGGCACTGGCTGCTCTTGCAGAGGACCCAGGTTCAATTCCCAACATCCACATAGCAGCTAACAACCATCCTTAACTCCAATTCCTGGGGATTTGACACCCTCTTCTGTCCTCTGTGAGCACTGTACAACAAGGGTGCACTACACTCATACACAAAATATAAAATAAATGTTTTTTTAAAAAGACATTCTTGAATTAGACTGTCCTACCCTAAAATAATCTAATTCCATAGGCCCCTCCCCGCCAGTTCCGGGGAATTGAAACCAAGACCTTGGACATGCTAGGCCAATGTTCTATTGCTGCATTATATCCCCAGCCCCTCAATTCCTTTTCTTTTCCTTTTTGAGCAGAGTAAATACAGACTTATTAAGGAAGAGTAAAAAAGAACTCCCAAGAATGGGAGGGGTTCCAAAGGAGAAACACAGATCCCCCCATTCTTTTTCTAAATTCTCTTTCCCATATTAATGTCATTCCACTGAGAACAATAATGCACTATATTATAATCTTCCTTGTATCATTTTCCAAAATAACAATTACTCATATTTTACGTTCCTAGGTACACTCTTAGGAAGAGAAACTGACATTGCTTTGGTTTCTATAAAGAGACATTACCACACACTCCACTTAGTAATATCTACGGCTAATAATCTAACATTATATGGTCAAGAATAATGTGTATTTCATTTGGGGAATTGGGTGATTTTAGCCAAGTCATAACATCTGAACTTTAGTTTTCTCATGTGGAAAAATGAAGACAATTAACTCTTAAGATTATCAATGAACTTTATGAATATATACCCTTTCATCTCTAGAACACATGCCTAGCATGTACCTAACAGAGCTGATCACACAGCAGACCCATAAATATTTGTTGAACAAAATTTAAATCTGTATTACTCAGCATAAAGTAGGTACAGATCAACAGCTGAGATGAACAACAAAAACAGCATTCATTCTAACCACGAAACAGACAGTAACCATATCAACTTTGTGGAGAACTTTTTGTTTTAGTGTGTGTCCTGTTGAAATGAGCATGTTGAAGAATTTCTGACCTGAAATTTTTCTATTAATCAGGGTTCTCGGTATGAGTAGCAAGTCAGAACAGGAGAACTCGGTACTGAATCCTGAACTCTCTGGTGTTACTGATCCTACTCTGAGAAGTACAAGATTTACCTCATTTATCCTACATTTTCAAGTAATTTTAGTTGGAGCTGGAGACACGGCTCAGCAGTGAGGAGCACTGGCTGCTCTTCTAGAGGACCTGGTTTTGGTTCCCAGCACCCACATGGCAACAAACAACCATCCATAACAATTCCAGGGAACCCAACTCCTTTTTTGGCCTCCGCAGGCATTGCACGCACATGGTGCATTTATATACATGCACTCATACACATAAAATACAAATAAAAATTTTTTTGGTCTTTTTGAGACAGGGTCTCTCTGTAGCTCCAGCTGGCCTAGAACTCACTAAACCAGGCTGGCCTCAAACTCAGAGATCCGCCTGTCTCTGCCTCCTGAACGCCAGGATTAAAGGCATGCACCACCATGCTGGGCTACAAATAAATATTTTTTAAAAAACACTTTATTATTTTATGTGTATGAGTGCAGTGCTTGCATGTAGGTTAAGTGCAGCCATGTCGTGCAATGCCCAGCGGAGGATGGAAGAGGCTGTCAGATCCCCTGAAACTGGAGTCAGAAACAGTTGTTACCTACCATGTGGGTGCTGGGTATCGAACCCAGGTCCTCTGCAAGAACAGTCAGTGTTCTTAACCAGTGAGCCATCTCTCCAGCCCCCAAATAAATTTTTTTAAAATATATTTTATTATTTTTATTTTATGTGTATAAGTGTATTGCCTGCACGTGTGTCGTGCAATGCTGTGGAGGTCAGAAGAGGGTGTCAGACTCCCCTGGAACTGAAGTTAAGGAGTTCGTAGCCACCATGTGGGTGCTGGGAATCAAACTTGGGTCCTCTGGAAGAATAGTCAGTGCTCTTAACTGTTGAGCCATGTCTCCAGCCCCACAAATAAATTTTTTAAAAATTAAAAAAATGTAATTTTAGTTTTAATTGAAGCCAAGATAGTATCTCATTCCTTTTCAGAAGTGCAAAGGAAATGTGCCATGGTGAGAGCACTTGTGGTAGATTTTCTGTGGATATAAAGAGTAGGACTTGGAAAGAAGAAAGTCTGCCCAGAATAGTGGTATAACCCAAGAACTCAGGAGGCTGAAGCCATGACAACCAGGATCACATAGTAGACCCCACCTCAACTCTCTTCATTCCCAGTAAAATGAAACAAGTACAAAAAGTCTGAGGTTAAAATCTGAGGCCTGTCTCCTACTAGGCTCTATGATTAGGCAAATTCCTAAAAGTTTTATTAGACACCTGTCAAACTTGCCATGCTACTAAAGGGATGAGATGAGATACTAGAAATTTACTATGCAATGCCTGGCACAGAGCAGGAATTCAACAAAAGGAAGTTACCACTGAGGGACCTTAGACTTAAGAGAAGTAAGTTCTTAGAAGAATTCTTTCACAGTGTCAAATTACAAGAATTACTCACAGAGGTTTTGTGCTGTCTTTGAATCCAACACTTTTAGCTCTTTTACTTTTTTCTTTTGCACAGATTTTTCTTCTCCACCTTCTTGATCCTTCTTGGCTAGAGGAAAAAGGTCAGAAAAACATGATTACCAGTAAGTCATCTCTGTGCATTACCAAACAACTTCTGCCAGGCAGAGGCCTTTTGCTATTGCTCTACTGTAACTGTCTCTCCAGTGTGTTCCTTCAAGGCTCATCTCTCTAGCCACTCTTCTATTAATGAATGCCCCACCCCTGAAGCTCTCATTTCCATTTCTTCAACAGTTATCAATACTTTCTTACTTACAAGGAGCAGCTAACTCTCTGAAGAACAAAAGAGTAAATATTGTAGACATTGTAGGTCATATGATCTGCCTCAATATCTCAGTTCCATCACTGTAGCATGAATGCAGCCATAAACCAGTACATAAATAAATGGGTATGGCTGTGTGTTCCAATAAAACTTTATTAAAAAAATAGTATGTGACAGCTTACTAACCCCTATACTAGAGTCTTCTACTATTATCCTTTTATGCCTGTTAGAATTTTTCATTATTTTTCAATGTCTACCTCGACTATGACTTTCCCTATACAATTTGCAGTACTTTACCAGCTGCCTATGATCTCAATTGTTGCTGAATTTGATACCTCTTCATAGAACTTCTCACTGGCACTGCTATAAAAACAGTCTTCTCTCTACTACAAAAGTTTTGTTTTTCATCTCTACAAATCTGATGGCATACTAAAGAATTTCTAAGATGGGTTTAGAAACAAAATAATACATATCATTTATGTATCATCTGGGTGAACTCGAAGAGAGATACACACCTCTCCTTCCACACTCTTCTTACACTCTTGTTTGTTTTTGTCTTTTTTGAGACAGGGTCTCCCTGTAGCCCCAGCTGGCTGCACTCACAGAGATCTGCCTGCCTCTTCATCCCTAGTGCCGGGATTAAAGGCATATGCCACCATGCCCAGCCTTTCTTACACTCTTTAAAGCAATATATCCATCCTTTTTCATTAAGTCATTCCTGCTAAATGTGCCCACTCTGTTTTGCTAAACTAACTCTTATGGCATTTGCGATCTGTACTTTATTCAATAACTATTCAATGTTTTCTGGCTTACCATATGTATCATTCTGATTTTTAAAAGCCTATGTTTGTTCCTTTATAAGTGTAGACATTTCTCATCATTTTGTGTTTCAATGTCATGAGCAAAACATTTTATTATCACTTCAGCAGCTAACTATAGTAAAATTCATTAAAATTGGTTAGCACTGGCTCTTGAGGAGGGCTGAGCAGTACACAAGAAAAACAAATAGGAACTGTTCTGGACAGATAAAAACTATAAAATAACTTTTCCTATGGTGTAACTTGGTAACAGCTTTTTAGAAAGCCATAGGGAAATAGCTCTGAAAGTGAAGAAACTAACAATTAATTGCTACTAAGTAAAGGAATGGGATGCTTGAGGACACGAGTAGGAGAATACTTCTAACAGAAACCTATTTTTTAATTTTTAAAAAATTCTTATTTTCCATGTATGAGTGTATTGCCTGCATGAGTGTGTAAGTGTACCCATGTTGTGCAATGCCTGTGGAGGTCAGAAGAAGGCATCAGATCTCCTGGAACTGGAGTTACAGATGGTTGTTAGCTGCCATATGGGTGCTGGGAATTGAACCCGGGTCCTCTGTAAGAGCAGTCAGTGCTCTTAACCACTGAGCCAGCTCTTCAGCCTCCCCCCTCCCCGCCCCTTTTCGGATTTTAAGACAAGAGTTCACTAAATAGCTCTGGCTGGGCTGGAACTTGCTATGTAGACCAGACTGGCCTTAGGCTTTCAACAATCTGTCTCTGCTTTCCAGGTATGAGATTATAAACATGGGCCACCACTGCCTAGCTAGAATATATGCCCCCTTTACACCATTTGATTTTAGACCACATGCAAAATAGTATATGGTTAAAAATAATAAATCAAAACAAAAACCAAGTTATATAACACAAGGTTATATAACTTGCCTAGCATGCTTGAAGCCCGAGTTCAACCCCCAGTACTGTAGGAAACATTCATTCCTTTGGCCTAGGAGTTCCAATTTGAGAAATGAAATGCTAATTATATAAAGATTAGTTACATACATAATGTGTGCCAGGCTGTCAGGCAATGGAAATAAAACAAGTGAACAAAATGAAAGGCAAGAATCATCTTTGTTTTAATAAAGCAAAATAGTCTAAGTTAGCCAATAGATGAGATTATTATGTTAGGTGATAGGAAGTATTGTGAAAAGAAAATCAAGCAGGAAGGAGAACCAGAGATTTGGCAGGAGGAGGGTTAAAATCTTAGCGGAGTGGCCAGGGAAGGTCTTACTGAGAAAGTGATATTTGAGAAAAGACCATTAGAAAGTGGGGAACTTGAGACACAGAATATGTGGGAGGAGCAGAGGCATTTCAGACAGAGGGAATAAGAACTGCAAAGGCTGAGATGGGGGCATGCCGGCTCTGTCAAAAAAGCAAAGGTCAGGCGGGGCATGGTGGCGCAGGCCTTTAATTCCAGCACTCAGGAGGCAGAGGCAGGTAGATCTCTGTGAGTTCAAGGCCAGCCTGGTCTACACAGTGGGTTCCAGGCCAGCTGTGACTACAGAGAGACCCTGTCTCAAAAAGAGAGAGAGAGAAAAGCAAAGGCCACTGTGGCTAGAATCGATGGAGTGTCCCAAAGCACAGGAGATGAACAAAGAGGGAAGACAGATTACATTAATTAAACAAATGAAATTTATGGTCAGTCAGATAAAAACGGGGACTATCTAGATCATATCACAAAAAATAAGAAGCTGGACAGAGAGGTCATTTTGTACAGGCAGAGTGAAAAGTTACACTTACTGCTGATGTTGAAAGGTTCAAAACAATTCATTGCAATGAGATAAAAATGTACAGACAGAGGAAAGAAAGGAATGAAAAAGCCATTTTTTGCAAATGACTATATGTAGTAATTCAAGACAATCTAATGAAAACTACTAGAACTAGCAATTCAGTAATGCTGACAGATAAAAGGCAAATATGTGTCCACCTCACAAGGAGGGAGAACTATTGTCTGTTCATCAATTTAGCAGATAGATAGGCAAATAGATAAATGGATAGAAGGATGGATGGACAGACAGAAAGACAGGGATTCACAGATACTAATATTCTTGGTTGACTGGTACAGATGCAATGATCTGTGAAATAGAGACTCAAAAAAATAAATTTTCTTATATTTGAGAAAAAAAAGTGGAGGCTTTTTAAAAAAGACCTAAATAGAAAAGAAAAGTAGGAATGGACAGAACTTAGTGGTAGAGCAAGCACCTTCCTAGCATGTATGAGGCCCTGGGTTCAATTTCCAGTAACACGCACACACACACACACACACACACACACACACACCCCTCTCTACCTGGATCAGCATCTAAGCAAACTACACAAACCAGCAGTATAACTAAATAAAAATGAAAAAGGTTTCATTTTGAAATCTTAACATTCAAAGAAGCCAGGTAATTACACGACTGTAATCCTAACACTTCAGAAGTTGAGGCAGGAGCATCAGGAGTTTGAGGCTATATAATGAGACCCCGTCTCAAAAAATAAAAATAAAAACAACCTCCTCACACATGTAATGTTCAAAGAGCCCAAAGGAAAATAAGAAAATAGAAATAAAGGAAGAAGACAAAGAATACTTATATGGTAGATTATGCTCTAACAGATCAGAAATTACCTTTATGTGCATTAAGAATGGGCTAAGTAGATTAAGGAAGAAAAACTTACTTCAAAGACTATAAGTAGGCTGAAAGCAAAAAGCCTGAAACAGGATAAAATATGCAAACACTAATTTTCTAAGAAAACAGAATGACAATAGTTCCAAATCCACGTGGAGTCATTAACATCAAAATCTCAGCCATGGGTAGAATAGAAAATCAGCAAGGGATACTGAAGTTCGTGATAAAAACCAAGTCACAGGATCTGACATACACAGAACACTTAATCCAACAAGAGCAGAATACACTTTTTTTTTTTTTCAAATGCCAACAGATCATTCACTAAGATATACCCTGGCCAATAAAAAAAACTTGAACAAATTTCCAGAATCGAAACCACAGAACATGTTCTCTGATCCTAATGGAATCAAAGTACAGACTGACTATAGAAAAGTGATAGGAAAATATTAAAACACTTGAAAATTGAAGAGCCACTTCTAATAAATTTGTGAATCAAACAAGAAGCAAAATAATAAATAAATAAACAAATAAATAAATAATAGACTGGGCTACACAGCAAGTTCCAAGTCATCCTGAGCTCTATAATGAGACTATTTGAAATGAAAAAAAAAAAAACTTTAAAGCTAATTAAAGTAAATCACAACATATCAAAATATACAGGACACAGCCAAAGCAATGCTAGGAGGGAGATTCACAACTATAAGTTTACATTAGAAGACTTTAGGAGCTGGAGAGATGGCTCAGTGGTTAAGAACATTGGTTGTTCTTACAGAAGACCCAAGTTCAAATCCCACCACCCACATGGCAGCTAACAACTGTCCGTAACTCCAGTTCCAGGAGATCCAACAGCCTCTTCTGTCTTCCACGAGCATTGCACAACATGGGTGCACTCATCTACATGCAGGCAATAACACTCATAACATAAAATAAATTTTTTTTTTAAAAATTAAAAAAAAAAGAAGACTTTAGGTCAGTAAACTACTTTCTTTCCTTAAACTAGAGGAATGCACTAGGCCAGTCAAAACCCTGCCCACCCCACTGCCATATCCACATTCCCAGGACTAGCCTGGTTTGTGTTGGTGTTGCTCAGGCTCTGACTAGCCTAGGGAGCTAGCCAGAACACTGTCCACTCTACTGCCATCTCCACACTCACAGTCATAACTACAGGGAGACCCTGTCTCAAAAAGACCAAAAAAAAAAAATAAAAACCCCCAAAAAATCATCAATGAAAATCTGAAGCACTGGTCAACTAGCTCTTCATACCTGGTCTAAAATCAACTAAGCTATAACAAAGACAGAACTCAATTTCCACAAAACAAAGGCAGACTAGAATTTCATATCTCAC